AGCCGAGACATCATAGGTCTCTTTTGAATTTTTTTGCACTTAGGTGGGTATCTTGCTTTGATCCAAATTGTATTTTGTAAAAAATACAGTATGCTCTTTGTTTGATAATAACAATACAGTATTCGTAAATCTATTTTCTTATATCTAGTGGCAAAACGCAAAGACGCAAGTTAAACAGTACTAGTTTTCGAATTTATTATTGACAATATAAAATGTGCGTTTTATTCTGGTATACTAATACGGAACGGTAATTAATCTCTTGATTCGATTTTCATGGGCTAGAGCATCAAACTCAGATTAACTAAGGCACGCTGGAAAGCGGGAGTTTTCGTCAACTCAATTTAGGAATTTATGTTATAATAATGCGGCTTCTCGCACATCATTCACGCTGAGCGTTCTGTAAAAATCGTTGACCAACTTGCTCGCGGCTGCTTCTGAATATAAACTTCTTATTGTAGTAGTTTGTCATGAACGTTAATACATTTTTAAAACATTCAAAGCTACAACAATAAATTGCTCTGCATTAAAAAAAGATATGAAAGATTTCAAACATACATATGTTATGCAATTTAAATATAAATTCTTTCATTCTGCATTTTTTATGTTGTAACATAAAATTAGTGTGTTTTTAAACTGTCAAAAAAGTTTTAACTTTTGTTTTGCCCAACCTTAGTCTGCAATCAGATTTGATCATAAATTATCTTGACTGCACATTATAATTAGTGACCTGCTAATATAAATATAAATAGTAAAAGCCTTAAATTTTCATAAAAATTATGACGTTTGGCCAAAATAATAGAGAAAAGGTGTGCCCAATAGTTGTGAAAGTTAATATGCTAATAGTAGAGGAAATGGAATTTTTATTTTTGATAAAATGTTAGAACATAAGCGAAGTATTTGTACCTCTGCTCATAAGCTATTAAATAATATAAAGCTTACGTTATTAGTTATTGTGACAGATTAAACGACATCGGATTAAACCGACTTTTGGGGTCTTCTTGAGTTCACCCTTAAAGCTCAGAAACCCACATATACTCTTCTATTATCGAACAATACCCTAAATTCTAGCCCAAATTCAAAAAAAGTCTAAAAAAATTGTCCTTCAAAAAATTTTAATTTTTTATATTAAAATAGAAAAAAGTCGTTTTATCTGTCACAATTTTTTGATAACGCAATTGTGCTAATTTACCTTTTGACAATTCTAAGTAAAAGTGAATCGTGTCCGAATTTACCTTTATTATTAGCTTCTAATTTAATTAGCCAAGTAGAAAGCGGCTACATACAGTACGTATATTCATTTCTCTGACCTAAAGCACTCACATACCACCAGCTACTTGCGAACGCCGCAACAATACAAGCGGTTGATTCGTGCCAGATTATGCATAATCTAATCTATGTACATTCAACTCCCCTATAATCACTCTCAATCTAAAACTTGCATATTAATATTCCGTGACTACAGCATAAATGAACGGATACATTGTGTTCATCCGTTGTTGATGTTGAACTTCATTGTCACGACGTAATCCTGCTCATCAGTTTCTAATTGCGAAATTTGATATCGTAATCGTGTACTTCACCATCTTACCTTTCGTGCAACATTGCTGATTATAGCAATAGAGAGAATGAAAATCTTTTCGATCGCCGCCGTACCACAGAAAATCACACCATATTTCGCAAAAGTTCAAAGCAGCTTCAAAAATCATATTTTTCGGGCGCGTCTTCCGACTTAATTCGATCAGAAAATTGTGTCATTGTTATTGTGTGATGAATCGTTTTCTCGGAAAAAAAATCGACATTTAGTGTTTTCACAAAGGATTTTAATTATTGGTTCCCCCTAATGGGCGATTCATCTTTCAGCTTTTAAGTTTCCTAAAAGAAAACCCTTCAAATTTTGTAATTGTGCGAGTATTACACTAATAAGGATTGTATTGGTTAATATTAAGCCACATGTGTTTGTTAATGGGCTGGCTGCCTAGGGAAAAAAAAAAGGAAAATAATGTCTTCTTCCGACGTTGTTGCTCGAGAACAAGCTGCTTTTGACGCCGAAGTGGCCGACGTTAAGAGGTGGTGGAAAACTGACCGGTTTCGCCTGGTCAAGCGTCCTTACTCTGCTGAACAAGTCGTTTCTAAACGTGGATCCTTGAAGCAGTCGTATGCGTCCGATACGCAAGCTAAGAAATTATGGGCTTTGTTAAAGCAACATCAAAAGAATAAGACTGCCTCTCATACCTTTGGCGCATTAGATCCTATACAAGTTGCCCAAATGGCAAAATATCTCGAAACCGTTTACGTTTCCGGTTGGCAATGCTCATCCACAGCTTCTACTTCCAATGAGCCCGGTCCGGATCTCGCTGATTATCCTATGGATACTGTTCCTAATAAAGTTGAGCACTTATTCTTGGCTCAACAATTTCACGACAGGAAACAACGTGAGGCTCGTTTTAGTCTATCGAAAGAACAGCGAGCTAAAATAGCATACGTTGATTATCTGCGGCCAATAGTAGCTGATGCTGATACTGGCCATGGTGGCATTACTGCAGTAATGAAACTGACTAAGATGTTTGTCGAGCGAGGTGCGGCTGGTATTCATGTTGAGGATCAGGCACCCGGCACCAAGAAATGTGGACATATGGCTGGGAAAGTACTGGTTCCTATTTCGGAACACATTAATCGATTGATTGCCATTCGTGTTCAGTATGATATTATGGGAGTAGAGAATCTGATTGTTGCTCGAACAGATTCAGAGGCTGCTACATTAATCACATCAAATATTGATTATCGTGATCACTCGTTCATTGTTGGATCAACGAATCCTAAGCTTCGTCCATTGGTGGAAGTCTTGGATAAAGCTCAAGCTGCCGGCAAGATTGGTGAGGAGTTGGCGGCTATCGAGAACAAATGGATCACTGATGCTGGTCTGAAGTTGTATAGAGATGTTGTGGCTGACGCGATTAAGGCTTCAAATAAGCCCGATAAAGATGCGCTGTTGAAGACATGGAATGCTAAAGTGAGCACTTTACCACACGATAGTGCTAGAGCTTATGCTAAATCGATCGGTTTCGATGTGTTCTGGGATTGGGATAGCCCCCGCACTCGTGAAGGATATTATCGATATCAAGGAGGCACACGATGTGCCATTAATAGAGGCATTGCGTTTGCACCGTATGCTGATCTCATATGGATGGTGAATGTTATTTACAGTTGGATGCTGTTTAATTAATAACTCGACGTTGCGTATCGTTCAGCTTCTTATCTTTCCTACTTCACCTTCTGCAGGAAACAAAAAGTCCTATATACTCACAAGCGAAAGAATTTGCTGAAGGTGATGAACTTATATATCACTGTCATAAATTCACGCATACTACTTGAATATGCTAATATAATTTATCCATTTCGTTTGATTTCGGCAGGCGTTTTGGCCGTGCATCCTGAGATAATGCTAGCGTATAACTTGTCTCCTAGTTTTAATTGGGATGCAGGTTAGTGAAGGTCAAGCATGGTTGATTTGAGAGTTACACGTTCTTACCTAATGTTATATGACAATTAGCTGGAATGAATGACCAACAAATTCGCAGCTTCATTTGGGACTTGGGCAAGTTGGGATTCGTTTGGCAATTTATCACACTTGCTGGCTTTCATTCAGATGCACTTGGCATTGGTAACTAGAACCGATTAAGTTAGTGAATACGTCTTTTTTGTACTTCGACTAATATGAACGAACGAATCTTAGATGTATTCTCTCGCAATTATGCTAAAGAGGGAATGTTGGCATACGTGGCGGGCATACAGCGCCAAGAAAGAGCAAACGGAGTGGAGACATTACAACATCAGACATGGTCAGGAGCCAATTATTATGACTCCTTGAGTAAGTATCTCATACGTTTGTGGTAGTTTCTCGTTATGATAATGTTTAATTTATATACTAATATGCTATGTCAATATGCAGTCAAGACTGTCCAAGGAGGTATAGCTTCTACAGCTGCCATGGGCAAAGGTGTTACGGAAGATCAATTTAAAGGGGCTTAAACTTGAGCACAAGTCAACGCAGAGTCAAATCTACGTACAGTAGATGAATAATCAATGATTTACAGATTGGTTGTTGTAAATCAAGTGATTAAGCTCTGTTTGGTTGTTGATATACGTTCAGTAATTATACGCAATAGAGCTACCATTGCTTATAATTAGTTCACAATTAAAACAGAATTGTAACTCTCTCGATCGTAACTTGTGCTGCTGATGCCTCCGTTTTGAAGATTAAAGTTAATTAAAAGTAAATGAAGTATTCAATTGGATTATTATTATAGTGGTGATTGTCAGAAAGTCATCTAAACTCTTAGAAGATTATTTGCCTCATTTTACGTCCATACTTTATTTAAACTTTGTGCTCTGACAACTCTCGATGTTGTTTAATAACATTCATGTTTATGGTTGTTTACTTTATTAGCCTTCCCAATCATGAAAAGTTATCTTGGTATTCAGATAGCTTTTCAGATTGACACAAAGGAAATTAAGCGATGTGCAACCAGGGTTCGGCCGCCACGACCGATCTACCCCAAAGTTTTTATTATTCCTAGACGCCCAATATGGCTATAACTAATACCATTGTTGTAACAGTATTGTGGCTTTTAAACCTGGTACTTGGCGCATCCTTTTCCAAATTTATCTACACAAAACAATATCAGTGATGCAATATAATTGTATTAATTACCGTGAGGGCACACAATTATAATCAATTCGCTTACATATAAATTCGCTTTCTTACAAATTCCATCTGCAGTTGTTCTTCCAAACCATTAATATTTATTTGACTGCTTAAAAACTACGTTCGTGCCGCTGAATTATTGGCGTGGCAGTACTGGTAAGGAAAGCTCTAACAAATGTGACTTCCTTAACCTTAGGACAACCTTCTGATATAGAACTCGAACCATATATGCTCTATTCTACTTGCTACCTCCAAGCATATTGTTTCTTACAGATAACCATAAACACATTTAAACATGGAAACTGATAAACATCTATTTAGTGAAAATAAACAAGCCAATGGCAAACGTAAGCATGGTTTTAAACTCGCCGTATCAACCCATCGCTTTCAGTATGTTACAAAGAATTCACAGACTAACAAGACGGCTCGCTGTCTTCATAGGTAATGAATCAAAGCCTGTCAAGGATATAAAAGCCGAACCGAAGAACGTCAATGGCCATCCCAACTTAATACAGACGTTCCAAAAGATGTTTCACTTGGATGTTCCAGATAAATCGACAAAAAGTTCATCTGAATCTGACGAAGATAAAGGCGAATCTAATATTTCACGTGGTGAAAAACGATTATCTTCAACGACGACTGGCTCAAAACTACGTTTCCAGAAGTTAACAACCGATTCACATGTACACAACTTACAGCCAAGCAAGAGGGCTCATCGCGTTTCCGCTATATTGAAAGAACTTGGATTTATTTCTCATAATCACCACGAAGAACAAACACCAACATCTCATAATAATGGACCTAGCGAGAAATCCTCGCGAAGTGAGTGCTCTTTCGCTGAAAAATATGGAACTTGTAAAGAGATTATTGGCAAAGGTATGATTCCGAATGCTATTTTGCGACGTTCAAAATAAGAGAATTAAACCTGTCTTGATTGATACAGGCGCCTTCGGTATTGTTCGTATCGCTCATAAAGCTGAACCAAAAAACCCAGGAGGAAAACTGTTTGCCGTCAAGGTAAAATATATATATGTGTGTCGTATACTTTCAATTCTGATAATAATGACAGATTTGATACTAATACTTTTCTTATTTGTTTTCCTTCCAACATTGCCATGTTATGGCATCAACTATCATGCGTTCTTGTTGTTACATAGGAGTTTAGGAGGCGTCACAATGAACCAACAAAGAAATATATTAAGCGTCTTACCTCCGAATTCTGTATCTCATCATCCTTACATCACTTGAATGTCATTGATACCTTGGATCTAATGCAAGATACACAAGGAAATTACTGTGAGGTAATGGAATACTGTGCTGGTGGAGACCTTTACTCGCTAATTATTGCGTCTGGCGGTGGTTTGGAGCTTGAGGAGGCGGATTGTTTCTTCGGCCAATTGATCAACGGAGTCAAGTATTTGCACGATAATGGTGTCGCTCATCGGTAGGCTGCTGTTCCGCCAGCCAACATTACATGTCGGATTAAACGTTTATGAATAAAATTTGTCTTTTCTTACTGTAGCGACCTGAAACCCGAGAATCTACTTCTCACCGCTGCTGGATGTTTGAAGATTACCGACTTCGGAAATGGTGAATGTTTCCGAATGGCGTGGGAAACTCAGGCTCATCTTTCGCGTGGTGTTTGTGGCAGTGAGCCCTACATAGCACCGGAAGAGTATACTGGGAATTGGTTTGATCCCAGATTAGTAGACATATGGGCTTGTGGTATCATATACATGTGCATGATAACCGGCAGACATCCATGGCGCATTGCTAAATGGCAGGAAGATGGTCAATACCGGTTATATGCCGAAGCAAAGGCAGACGGCCGTGTTTTAAGTCAATTCCAGGGATTGAGTAATGTTAGTGTATATGCTCTTGATGTTTTATTATTAAGCTAATTTGGGATACCTGATTAAATGTTACTGCCATATTTTTAGGGTTCCCGTCGTATGATGAGCAAGATAATTGAACCAAATCCCAAGCTTCGCGTTCATGCCGAGAAGATCACCCAGGATCAGTGGTTTGCTACAATAGTCATATGCTTCAAGCCTCCCTCTGCAGGATCATCTGGTGTGGGAACTTGTACTAGCAGTCATCATGATTCTGTACTGAGTAACAAGTTGAGCGTAGCTTCATAGACAAGACGTCCACACGCATTAGCAAAAATGAAGGTTTTTAGTTCCCTTTCATTTTTTTTATCTCTGTATCATATTAACCTGTCTAATTAATCTAGATTGTATTCTTAATTTATATAACAATAAATGCTCGTGTCTTAATATTGTTGTACGTCTATACGTCGCGGCTCATCGAATATTTCGATACGTTAAATTCTCATCCAAGTTGAATCGCGGGTCGACAAAGATTGCCACTCATTCCGCACGCGTTGGAAAAAGAACCTTAATAATATAACGAAGCGCAGAATATTATGTTACGTTTTCCTTTACACGTGCACGTCTGCCTCCGACGGGACGATTCTTACATCTGAAAAATCGCCAACGCTCTTTACCGATCACAAGATTTCTTTATGTCAGTCCATATCATTTGGTTCGTCGCGACTTTTATGACCCATCTGGAGATTTCAGTTACCGCGACTATCGGTTTGACTCGTCTGTTTTTTTAAAGCATTCATATTTGAACTTATCCTTCGGATATCTCGGTCCATGATACGTATTATCTCTTAAAGCCTCGAGGAACTTTTACTCACAACAAGGAATTGTCACAATGTGACAACATTCGCTCCCATTCTATTAATTCCTTCGCTGGCAATATCTTTCTTCCTCTCCAAACCAATAATCTTGAACTATGGTCACTTCACGTACACGTGATCCAGATAGCATGCTTAAAATTTCGGCGGCTTCAATTGTATAACCGCCCAGAACCAAATACCAAATGTGAGTTAAAAGCCAATACCATATACGCTCAAAAAGGCGTCTGCTTTATCAGTAGAGTAGCAGGGTTTGAGATTGCTAGATAATTCAAACTATTTGAAGGTTAGACCATAGTTTTGGCTTATTAGGACTGAAGATGAAAAAAAATATCTAGAATGTATGTATTATGAATACTAGTATAATGTTCAAAAGCAATGAGTGTGAGTGGAGTGAAATGACGGACCTTACGTTTCACTAATTTTAGCAATTTAAGCGCTCGCAATCGGGACAAAAGAGAGATTACGTGTATGAGAATGAGTGTAAAGTGCCTTAGATATTTTGCTTGACTAATATTCTCGAGTCTTTCTTCACGTTTTTATAGGAGACATCTGACAATATCTCAAAACTCAAATTTATGCGGTACGGTCGGCTCTTCCAAAACATATCAATAAAGTATCGAACCGTGTGGTACGCTGTTGGACTTTTCTATTAAATGGGGCGTATCCTGTTGGGTGGCAAGGTGATTATTAATATAATAATAAATATGCATTTGCGTATTTTTTTACTTTTATGCGTTTTCTATATGCTCACTCAAAAGCCTACTTTGCAGCTCTCTTCTTTGCAAGAATATCACACAGTGCAGTTTTTAAACAACGCTAGCACAATATAAGGAGATGTGATTGTAGACCGAGAA